AGTTCTCGTGCCACTAGCGCCGTCCTCCGTTCCGGTCGGTTGCTCCTCGGATTGTCTAAAAGGGAACGAACAATGAAACTGGCCATTATTTATGATGTCTGTTTTTTGACGAAATAGCTACTAGCAAGACGCTCCGCAGAGCTACAAACAGAGTCGTCATCTTTCAAATGTCTGATGTCCATCCCGCGTCGATCAACGCCATTGTTACCGAGGGCATCCTTTGCGAAATACTTGGGCGAACAAAGCTGGAGTTAAAGGGGATGAGGAACCGTGGACGGCTTACTAGGACTAACCAAGCACCAGACTGGGCTTGTTACTTACAGCATGACCTTGAAAAGTTCACCGAGCTCAGGCCAACTGCGGACAGACGCAGGGTTGAGAGTAAGGCGTTGTAAGGAGTAACTCAACATCTGGACACCTTCTTGCCTTTGGACATCCATTCGCATGAGCCGGCACGACAGGGCGATACGGTTGTGCAGGTGGAGGGGCAGGTTACGAGGGGAGGTTGACTGTATTTTATTTTCCACAAAAATGACACAAACGACTGTTTGACTGTAGTGGCTGACGACGCCTAGCGTGTGCCCCACTGCAGGATGAAATCAGGGGCGCTGACTTACGAAACATCTGCAGAACTCTCCACTCCTCGCCCGTCTAGAAGGCCGAAGGCGAGAAGGGGCGCAGGTGGCTGGTGTTGTGACTAGGCGGTCTGAGTTGGTGCAGTCTGTGAGCTACAATTATCAAGTCAAACTCCATCTTGGAAGGAAAAGACAGAAGGAACCAGAGTGAGGGGTTTACTGTGCACAGAACCCGTAGTTGTCCTCTCAGGCGGCAGTGGCTACTGGCGAAGCCAGGGCTGGTCTTGACTGCATCAAGTCCCGCCTGAGAGTCCCCCAGGTATAGTGGTGGCAGCCACTTTTGTAGGCTCGTGGACCAAGCGCAAGAGTGTGTTGCATTTGCCGAGGGGTGGTGCCCCAGTGACTTAGGCTGCGGTTGCAGGGAGGAGGTGCGTTCAAGTGGCCGCATGGGCAGCTGCAGCTGTGCGGACGCAGGTATGCCCGAGCTGTTGGTCGTGTGACTCCAGGTCAGCGCGTCTGGAACGGCTCACTGCAAAAGGGTGGATGACCTTGAGGCGGCGAGGTCTTGAACAATGACGCCAGACCGGTCATGATGACTGTCCGCTATAATGGCACGGCTGGAACCCGCTCCTATGCGTACCACCACGCCCCCTAATCCACAACGTACACTGACCAGGATTTTATACACCGGAAATAACCGGGGGAGGGGGCGGTTCAAAGCCCATCTGGCGCGGCGTGAAAATGCAATCGGATGTGCCGCCACACGTTTACCGATAAGGCCTGTTGGACTCTGCTCTAGCCCCTCTGTTGGTCCAGCGCATTTACCGCGTGGCCAATTTTAGGAAGAAAACACACACACACAGATGAACAAGTCAGTCTGACCAAGATAAATAACTGTGGGAACTGCCAGTAAATATCGAGCAGAGGGATTGCTGTGCGTCATGTACTACGCTCGCAAAGTTCTCACCCAGAGAGTATCCGAAGGAGATCCTGGTCAGTTCTCACCTCTTGTCAGCCCAAACGAGACCAGAGGGCATTCAGGACTGATTCATCGACTCAAGTTAAGGCAGATTATGTTAATGTTACCAATGTTAACCAAAATTCCCAAGTGTGTGGTCGTAGAGGGGCGCTCACCGATTGTTTTTTACGGAACTCCCTCGGCCTGTTGTGCCTTATGGGCTGTATCTCGAGCCAACCAGCAGTCGCACAGCGGCGCAAAATATAGGCAAAATGGCGTTACCGGCAAACACAAGGGAGACTGGAATCGCAATTTCTGGCTTATTAGCAATCGTCAGCCAGTCATACCCAACCCCGAAGTATGAAACTGCCGAGGCTCGAACTCGCGACCTGTTAGCTAGAAGTCCACGCCTCTAACGATTGGGCCACGAGCCAGTTGCCCTGTTGGTTTTCGATCGGCAATATACAATGGTAGGGGTGGAGGGGGGAAGGGGGGCTGTACTTACTGAAATTGCATATGTATATACATATGTCGATATGCGTAAAGATTCGAGGTCCAGACATTGTATCGCGTTCATCATCTCCCGAAGAAGACGAACAAGAAGAAGAGGGGGCGAATTCGTGGACCATATTGTATTCGAACTGACGTTTCGGAAACTTCCTCGTTTCCATCATCAGAGTAGCGTAATTGTTGCACTTACCGGTCTTGAGTTGTTCCGTCTTGCCGCTTGCCTCGTATTATAGCCGTGCTGGACGCACGAATTTTGACCTGCCTGTTTGCCGCTGATTGGCTTAGACCTCCCCGGGGCTGACAGGCCTGTGTGCCTAGGGTTTGTTTTCCTGCCGGTTGCGACCAGGAATGCTATTCTGCCTATATCATGCGCCGATGCGCAGTTGCTGGTTGTTATCGAGAGAGAGAACCCGTAAGGTCCAACCGGACGAGTTCCGCAAAAACGATCAGTGAGCGCCCTCCACCATTGTATGTTCCTGATTGCAACCGATAGAACAATGAGCTCGTGGCTCAGTGGTTAGAGGAGTATGACTTCTAAGCAACAGGTCGCGGGATCGAGCGCCATGTGTTCCACACTTCGGGTAGGGCATGGCCGGCTGACGATGGTTAATGAGCCAGAAATGGCCATTTCAGTCTCCCTTGTGTTTGTCGGCAACTCTATTCAGTCTAAAATGTGTTTAGATTCGGGGTAATTACCTAAGTAGGGATGTAATATAGACCATCGCGCAACATAATCCTAGCATATATTAGTCAGGATGGAGTGCTGAATTTTGAATGCGCTTCGTCAAATAGTAAAATTACTCCGTACGGAGTATGATGCGTTTCCATTAGTTCTCGATGTCCTTATGCATTTAAGTGTATTTTATAGAAAATATACACGTAAATTTCCATACGTTTACTCTATGTGTAATAACTCGAATTTAAAATTTGACGAAACGGTATATTAAGGCATTCAAAACCCTTTCGGTCCCCGAATAATTTTGAACCACTTGCATTTGCGTTTTTGATTTAGAGCCTCCAAGCAGCACACACACAGGGATCGTAAAATGTCGTCTTGAGCGTGAAGTGTGTTGCATACTTCATAAGAACCATTACTAAAAACAAAGATAAGATATTATTTGAACGGACAAGTCTTGGTTCTAAAAACACTCATAATTTCCAACTTTGCAAACTGGATGACACTCTTACTTGGGACAGGAAATTTAAAGAAGACGTGATTTCCTACCAATCGAAAACGTCGTAGATATTTTACATGCGTTTTATATATCTTGTACTGGAAAACTGATATCTCACGAAATTTAATTGAATATAAGTAAGATTCTGCGGGAAGAACGTAACCTCTAATGCGTACATTTTCGAGTCTGCTTCCCCAGCTCATCGTCAGACTTTTGGGTTATGCACAAAAACAGTTAACTATTTAACCGCGTCGAACCATTTGGCTGACGAACCTCGATGAGTCAAGTTTATCAGCAGCAGCAGTAGTAATAATAGTAGTGATAGTAGTGGTGGTAGTAGTAGTAGTACTAGCAGTAGTATTCTTAGTAGTAGTAGTGGTAGTAGTAGTCGTATTAGTAGTAGTAGTAGTAGTAGTAGTAGTAGTAGTAGTAGTTCAGAAGATTGAGATGAGAGCACTGAACAAGAAATTTATTTGCCTGACGTTTCGGATTCTCACTCGAATCCATCATCAGAGACATTCGTAGATAAAGGTGATGGTGGCACCAGGAGTGCAGTATTTATAGCACGTGGCTGCCGTGGGACCGTATGCGCACTGCAATTAACAGTTCTCACAATCACCGCTGGCGTCGTAATTGAATCGGTGATGGCTTGTCGGTCCGAGCCCGAGTCGTTAATCGCCGCAACTTCTTCATCCGTGCTGGATGCTGGTGTGACGATTGCTCGGCAAACTGGCTCACTGTCACCGTGATGATTGCTCGCCCGCGCCCTCCCCACGTGACTGTTATTACCGAAAAAGACAAGGGAGACTGGAATGGTCATTTATGACTTATTTGCCGTCGTCGTCAGCCAGTCATACCCAACTCCGAAGTGTGGAACACCCGAGGCTCGAGCTCGCGACCTGTTAGTTAGAAGTCCACGCCTCTAATCACTGGGCCACGGGCCCGTTGTCCTGTCGGTTTCGATCGGGAATATACAATGGTAGGGGGCGCTCACCGATCGTTCTTACGGGACTCACTCGTTCCGCTGTGCCTTAGGGGCTCTCCCTCTCCCGAGCCCAGCCAGCAGCCGCCCAGCGGCACATGCTATGGGCAGTATGTTATTACCGACAAAGAAAGGGGGGACTGGAATGGTCATTTCTGACTTATTAGCCGTCGTCGTCATCGTGGTCGTCGTGGTCGTCGTCGTGGTCGTCGTCAGTCAGTCATACCCAACTCCGAAGTGTGGAACACCCGAGGCTCGAACTCGCGACTTGTTAGTTAAAGTTCAACGCCTCTAACCACCGGGTTACGAGCCCGTTGTCCTGTCGGTTTCGATCGGGAATATACAATGGTAGGGGGCGCTCCCCGATTGGATGGTTTTTTTCACACAGCCAAAACAAAACAC